AGTTAAAATAAATGTTTTATCAAATAAAGTCTAATGTTACAACTAATCAGGGATCCCTTTAAGATTTTTGGCTTTTTGTGCTAGAGCAAAAATAATGTTAAATTCTGTCCAAGAATATCCTCTAGAAGCTTAACATTTTATGGTGCTTTTAGGCAAATTATACATTTAAATTAGTCTCTTCAACTGGCACTTTTGTACCAACTCTTGATGAGTGTAAATAAGCAAATGTATGTAACTGATAAATGCTGGTGTGTAACTGTGTTTTACTCATGCCTCTCCTCTAGAATTACATTGCCAGGTTTGGTCACGGCTCTGCAAAGTTGGCACGACAAGCACAAAGCAAAGAGAAGACTCTACAGAAGATGGTGGCATCGGGTTTGACTGAGAAAGTTGTGAATGACAAGGTACAACACTGAACTGAAACATGACTCTACCAGTCTCAGAACGCCAGGAAGTTGTTTCAAACAAATAAAACCTCTGAAACGCCCTCTTTCTTCCAGACTTTGTCATTTTATTTTCCTCCCTGTGGGAATATTCCTCCTCCTGTTATCATGGTTCAGAATGTGAGCTTCAAGTACAGTGACCACACGGTGAGTGTGATTTAATTAACTTTTATTTTTGGTGTCTGAAAGAGTTAACGCTTACTCCTCCAGTTTAAATTGTTTTTTTTTTTTTCCAGCCGTACATTTATAAAAACCTGGAGTTTGGCATCGACCTGGACACACGGGTGGCTCTGGTCGGACCCAACGGAGCAGGAAAGTCCACGTTGTTGAAGCTGCTTATGGGAGAGGTTGGTAGTGTTCACTTGTCAGTCAGCACCAACTTTAAAAAATATTAGATTTCACCTCCCTTTTTAATTTTTTTAAAATTTATATTTTATTTTTGTAGCTTCTTCCATCTGATGGCATGATCCGCAAACATTCTCACGTCAAAATTGGCAGATATCACCAGGTAAAAATCCCACCTGTTTGTTTGTTTTTTTTTTTGTTTTGCTTTTCTCTTCTGTACAGTTAAATGAGTTGTTTCCTTCTTGTCAGTCAGCACCAACTTTAAAAAATTTTAGGTTTTCCCTTCCTTTTTAATTTTTTTAAAATTTATATTTTATTTTTGTAGCTTCTTCCATCTGATGGCATGATCCGCAAACATTCTCACGTCAAAATTGGCAGATATCACCAGGTAAAAAGCCCACCTGTTTGTTTGTTTTTTTTTTTGTTTTTGCGAACGCTTCTGTTTCAAGTGCAGTTAAATGAGTCGTTTCCTTCCTGTCTGCCCGTATCGCAGCATCTGACAGAGCAGCTGGAGCTCGACCTGTCTCCTTTGGAGTACATGATGAAGTGTTTCCCAGAGATCAAAGAAAAGGAGGAGATGAGGAAGATCATCGGTCGCTACGGCCTCACGGGAAAACAACAAGTAAGAGGAAGCCGCCGAGTCGGCCATTGTCACGTCAGGTCGTTGGTTTTACCTGRCTGAAACCATGGTGAATTCCTCTCAGGTCAGTCCGATCAGGAACCTGTCAGACGGTCAGAAGTGCAGAGTGTGTTTTGCCTGGCTGGCCTGGCAGAACCCCCACATGCTGTTCCTGGATGAGCCCACCAACCACCTGGATATCGAGACGATCGATGCGCTGGCTGAAGCAATCAACGAGTTTGATGGGGGCATGATGCTGGTTAGTCACGACTTCAGGCTAATTCAGCAGGTATGTACTCTGTAAAATCTGATTGGAAGCCATCACTCTTAAATCTGTTAAACATATTTCTATAATTTATTTATTTCTTGTAGGTGGCTCAGGAGATCTGGGTTTGTGAGAATCAAACTATCACAAAGTGGCGTAGCGACATCCTGGGTTATAAGGAGCATTTGAAGTCAAAGATTGAGAAGTAGCAGGAAACGTCCCACTGAACTGAAACTCTTATGCATTTTACTGGATTTGTCTCTTCTACACGTCTTTGACAGTGAACCTGATAGAACCTCCCCTCCTGTCTCCATTTCACCTCAGGCTGCACTCTGATTGGCTGATTCACCTGGAATGCATTCCATTGTGCTGTCTTGAAATTAAACTTTGTTTCTTTTCCCCAGATGTTTTATTTCAAGCTGTAAGCAACAGCTGTTAGGTTGTTTTTATATTTAAAAAGTTAACACCCCTGTACAACAGTTCTGCCTTATTTAACAATGTAATGCAATAACTTGGTCAGAATACAATAAAACAAAGACGGCATAAATAAACTGAGAAATCTTTATTAATCAATTACGGGGACTGTATCAAAGTCAGGCTGTTTCGGGAAAATAAACACATTGCAACTCTGTAAACAAAGAAAAAATAAGTTTCTTTGGGTTCTGATCTTGCATCACTACATTAACCTGTGGTAGGTAAACTGGACTTGATTATTGACATTTCTTGGCTTAAACTGTATAAAGAGGACAAAGACCACTTAGTGCAGAAGTGCACCCAACTTTGAAGCTGGTCTAGACTGACTACATCAAAGCACACATCAGGGTTGGTGTTCAGAAATTTTCTCACTTTTCCATCCTAACTTATCACTAAGCCAACAAAATATTATCAATATTGGTTTCTAATATAGAGACTTCATCTAGTAAAAGACAGATGAGCCTTCACATCCTAACATCAGGAGCCATATTTTGAACAGATTTAAATTGTGCATGCTGTGTTACATTTCCAACACATGTATCCTGCTTTGATGTACAGGTCTGCAGGCTAAATGTTAAAGCTGTATTAGGTTTTCTACTGATAATGTTTGTTAGTAAATAGACTTGTTGATACAGGATGAGGTGGAACAGAAGGCTTCCCCTTCAACGTGCTTGATTGTCAAGATTATCGGCACTAGCTGCGGTAGAAATAGTGCAAGTCTGAGGAGTGTTTTCGCTTCACGCCGTCTCCAGATAATCCAGGCGGCAGCATATTTCGGGAGCTAAAGAAGAGGGGGCGGGGCGAGGTAGCAGCAGGCAGAGCCGTTCTCAGGTAAGTGTCCAAAACAGAGAGGTCGTCGACGCTCACTGAGCTTCCCACTCCTCGTCCGAGACTTCATCCAGTGGAATGGTGCGAGTGTTGCTGGCCCGGATGCTGCTGATGCTGGTCTCGGACAGGAGGTTGGCGATGCCCGTCAGGCTGACGCCTGTGCCGTCCAGGTTCACCTGAGAAAGACGCAGGCTTCTCAGGTGCTTTAAACCTGCAGGAGAGATCGTGTTATTGGATCGCTCCTTCCGGCAGACATGAATCATTTTGATTAAACTAGTTGAACGAAGAGGAGGGAAAGAGTATAACAGTACCGTGATCTGTGATCCGTGTGCGGCTGAGGTTGACCTTAATCAGCTGAGGACAGCGGATCAGACCCCTCCTCACTACTGTATCTCCCACCTGTGTGCTGGCTAAACCCAACACCTGGAAAACAGGACGTTATAAAACTTATCAACCTCAACAGAAACAATTTGTTTGGTACAGGAAAAACCACTGCACCGAAACTGCTTGTTTTTTTATTGAGGTAGTAAAACAAAAGCTGGATAAAGGTGGGGTGTTTGGAGCTGGATGTGTTTTTGGATCCACACAAACCGTTTGATACGGTTGACCACTCTGTGCTGTTGACAAAGCTGAATAATTATAATTTGTCTTCAAGAAAACTGCAGTGGATAGGATCTTATCTCTGTGACCGTGTCAAGTGTGTAAGAGTCAATAAGTTATCTACATCTAAGATTAATAACAAGGGTGTCCCGCAGGGCTCTGTTCTTGGGCCATTGTTGTTTGCACTCTACATTTATGATCTCTCCCTCAGTATGTGGACATTCAGATGTGTGCGGATGATACTGTGATTTATGTGCACGGAAATTATGTGACCACAGTAGCTAATACATTAACTAGTGTTATGGTAAAAGTCACAGATTGGTTAACTTCAGCCTTGCTCACACTGAATGCGAATTAAACAGTGGCAATGCATTTCACTAAGAAAAAAACACAACTCTGCCCCACCTATCTATGTAGATCAAAAACAAATCAAAGTAGTAGAAGAATTTAAATATTTATGACTTGTTTTGGACTCAACTTTTACTTTTAAAAGTCCTATTAAAAACTTTTTAATATTTTAAAGTATAATTTATCAGTTTTTAGGCACATTCGAAATACACTGACTCATGAAGTGGCAAAAACCTTCTTGGAGGCAATGATAATTTCTCACATAAATTATTGTACATATTTCATGTTGGTCACAAGCAAATGAGTCAACAACAAAACCTCTAAGGTCTTTATATAACCAAGCAGTAAAAGTGTWAGATAAAAAGCCTTTGAGACATCATCGTCATCACATATTAGGAAAATATAAAATGTTAAACATATTAATAATTTAATTGTGTATTCCGAAGTGCGGCTTATTTTTAAAATTGAGAATAACACTGCTCCTCCTGGGTTATTGCTGTATGTTTTGATTTTAGATTGCATTTTGTTGTTCAGCGACTACAGATGGAAATTAGCTTAAGCTAAATCTGGTGCAAAGCATCTTCTTAATGTTTTATTTGCACATTGTCTCTGTTTTAAATAATTAGAAAAACAAATAAAAAATCTTGATTTATATATATTTGTCTGCATTTATGAAAGAAGCTCCATAAAAATAAGGCAGGCTGATCACACAAACGTAAGTTGAATCACCTGAAGGTGCGGCAGACAGGTGATGAGTTCTGCCACGCCTCGGCTGGTCACCGTGGTCCGGTCCAAACACAGCTCCTGCAGCTCCTGCAGGCCCCGCAGCGAGGGCAGCCCCGCGTCCGTCACCTGAGTGTTGCTGAGCGACAGCTTCTTCAACCTGCACAAAACACATCTTAGTGATCCTCCTCCATTTAACTCAAACCAGCTGAAGGCTGAGACGGACCTGGTCATGATGGAGAGCCGGTGCACACCCTGGTCCGTGACATGTGTGTAGTCCGTCAGGTCCAGCTCCGCCAGCAGCGACAGCCTGGAGAGAGCCGTCAGCCCACCATCTGTCACCGTGTGGCGTCCGGGCAGGATGAGGTGAGTCAGCTTCAGACCTGAGAGAGAAATCAGACACCTCACAGATTCAGCAGCGTCACTCCTCTCCTTCCCCTCGGAGGGAAATGTTTTTACAAACCTGAGATAATCTCGAGCGTGGAGTTGCCGTCTGTTACGGGAATTCCTGCCAAGCTGAGGGAAGACAGAGCAGGATGCGTCGCGAGGCTCTTTAAAGATTCCTCGGTGACACCTGTCCCATCCAGACACAGAGTCTGAAGACCGGCCATCTGTGCCAGGGCTGTCACATCCTTCACCTAACAAAAACACACACATTAAACACCGAACTCTAAATCTCAAAGCCTTTTCAGAACAAAATCAAAAAAACTTGAGGTACCTTGGTTTGCTTGATGCTGAGAAGTCGTAACTGTGGCACACAGGTGGGGAGCACAGCCAGCGTGGCTTCAGTCACCGCAGTCTGGTTCAGACTGAGCTGAGAGAGACAGGCAGGGGCTGACTGGAGATATGGTGCCATCCCAGCATCTGTCACTTTGGTCTGATCCAGGGACAGGAAACACAGGCTCCTCAAACCTTCAAAAAGGGCACAAACTTAACCTCTGAAGCCCCAAGGGGTTTTCTTCAAGTTTTTGCTCGAAATACCACGCTGAAATGTAACTGAGTGTATCTCAACATTTACAAAATCTACTTAATCTTGATATCAAAATAAAGCAACACTTGAGAGATTTCATCAGAAGCTGTGATTTTAGAGATTTTGAGGATGGAACATATATATATATA